TTTAAATAAATATTAAATATATTCAGCATAGCAAAAATATTTTTAAATTTACATAAAATGTAAATTTATTTTAAATATATTTAGGATATATTTCATATATTGAACGGTTTATTGTTTAAAATATTTCAGATATACTGAAATATATTTAAGATATATTGAGATATATTGAACATATAGCAAAATCTTGCAATGCTCTCTCTGGCCCAAGTCAGCTCGAATGAAATTGGCATAGTAGACGTCTGCTTAGGCCTGATATCTCCCACATATCAAATATTTATTGGGAATAAGTTAATAATCAAAGTGACTTGAGGTATTTAAATTGAGAAACCATTCTTAAAATCTCGGAATACAATTATTATCAGCTGAACCTTTTCGTTTACCCTGCGCAGTTTTAGTTTGTCTGCTTATGTGTCTAACAGTAAATATAACAAACATTTACAGAGTAACTAATAGCACATGCATTTAACATATAATGTATCTAGCCTGCAGCTATTCACCTGTGTCAAACAACTGTTATTCGAGGAAAATTCAATTCTTAAATAAACTGTTAGCCCTTTGATGGCTCACAGAGCCTTCAGCATTTTAGTTAGCAATTGAAATGTGAGCATATTTCCAGCTGTGCATTGCCAAGCGTTGCCCGCAAAGCAAAGTAGTTTGCATTAGTTGGGCCAACTAATTTTTGGCTCCCGTATTCGGCCCGCATCGGTTGATGCTAAACTTTTGCAATTGCAACAGTTTGGCCCGCAGCTAGAGTGGGGATGGAGGGAACAAAGGAATGTTGTGTGAGCAGGGCAGGGTTAACTTCAAGGTAGACCTTTCGTTAGTCAGTTTAGCATATCATTAGGGCACTCAAAATGTAAGACTATTAAAACTTTATGCCACACACACACACATGCTTAAACCTACGTAGATGTATATATTATATGTATATATATATATGTTATGTAAATATATTTCATGCAGATTTGAACTAAGTTGAATTTGGATATCTGTGTACCGAGCTTTGGTGCTCCTTTTTCTACTCTTTCTGTCTCACTTTATACACATACACAACTGTCCTTCTCCCTCGCTCTGGTTGAGGCTGGAGCTGGACTGTGCTAGCTGCTGGCTAGCTGTTGGCCAGAGTTTCGCAGGTGTTGCAACTGCTCCATTGCTTTGGCAAAGTTTAATCTGATTTCAGTCAAGCGACAGCGATTTGCAAAAATCCCTCAACTGATACACTCTGTCACTCAATTGAAACAGAGACCAGTGGCCCGATTCTCTCTGCATCCTTGCGCTCCCCCTGCCCCCCTTGGACTAAGTAAGTGTCAAGTGACAACCGCCAGAAGCGCAAATTGTCAGTAATGGTAGCAAGGAGCACAGATATCTATATATACCATTTACCTATAAAGCGAGGGCAGTACGAAGAGTTTTCGATTATGAATTTAGTATAAATGCTGAATTAAAATAAAATCAATATAGAGATTTAGCTGATAATATTTTAAACTGAAAATGGGGGGAAAAAACAACAAAATATTAAAATAAACAAATATAGCTTCAAATAAATAAATATAATATTATATTCTCAATAGAAAAATTGATATTATTTTATTTTATTTACAACAGACATTTTAAAAATGAAAATTATTTTTTACAATATAAATAATACATATATTGTATATTTTTCACAAGAAAATATGACAACAAACTTAATTTTACATTTTTTTTACAAAGGTTTTTTATTATTGCATTTTATATTGAAATTGTTTGATACAATTCTTAGAGATTGAATATTTCGTAGCTAAACCCAATTGAGACCGACTCTACTGAGCTACTGAGTAGTTTGATAAGATCGTTGTTCCGTATTGGCGTCCTTGAAAATATTACGTATACGTTCCGTAGACACTTCCTCAACTAATTTTTAGTTCCCCCCTTCTAGCAAATACAGTGTCATGTTTGGCCAGTCGCGTTTGCAACTTAGATTCGAAAGTGAAATTCGCTGGGGCAGTTACTTCATGCGGTTGCCAAGGGTTAAGTCGCAACTTGAGTTTCTAGTTGGCATTTGAGTTTTCAATAGAGACGCGCTCAGGTGCCGTTAGCTGTCAGCGTAAGACTTTCGCTAGGCAGCGCAGTTCCAAATTGAAATTGGTATCATTCTCAGCGGGCGGCCATTGTTCTAATTGGCAGCAACAAAAGGCTCAGTAAACTCAATTTATTACCAGCTCCAATGGCAAAGACTCGCAGTGAAACTCATTTAACATCGTTCTTCCGTTTCGGGCGGCAGAAATGACTATTGAAGTGTTCCTGTTGCTCTGAGGCAGCAGCTGCAAGTTAATTGAAAATTAATTTTAAATACCCTTGTTAAGATCTGCCTCGGGGAATGTGGCATCGCGCTGCTACAATAGATTCCACATTTACATAATTAGCCAAAGCAAAAAATCTGTCAAATTGAGCCTAGAGTAAAAACAAGAAATAAATATAGCCTTAAACTACTTGAATTGGCTTTGATTTAAGTCGAGTCTTGGATATTTATTTCGTAAATTACAAAGCAGCATTGATGCTGCTGTTAAATCAATGTTAATTTGTAGAGCAAGCATTAAAACTACTGTTAATGTTTTCTCTATGCTAAAACAGCTAATGTAAATATGTTAAGCCAAAGTGTGACCTTCAGGTCTGTTAAGTTACTCGAATACTCTGCAACTAGAATTGTATTGCAAAAAAAAAAAAAAAAAAAAAAAAAAAATGAGAAAGTGCTGCTAATATTTCTCTAATTTCAACTGCAGTTTCAGTTTGTTTCTGCTGTAATATGACAAACTCAGCGTAACTTAAGCTAACCAGCTCTGCAACGCCAGCAACAATAAGAACAGCAGGGAAAACAAATTAACAGAACATGCAGCCGGCGACTTTTAGCCATTTTGCTCTGCAATCGGACTCCCCATCGTGATTTATTTATTTCATTTTCTTTTTTTTTATTATTTGTAGCTTTCATTGTATTTAGCAGTGGGTGTGACACGAGCACGAGCACAACTTACGGTGATTTTGCACTCTCGGAGAGGGTTCGTCCTTCTCTTTCATGCTGTTAAACATGCAGAAGTTTTAATGAAAACTATAAAGTGTATATGTTTTATATAGTCTATATAAGTATCTCTGCCTGTCTGTTTGTTTATACAACATCAACTTGTAAACTTTTGGCACTGCAACAATAATTATAAAATATAAAATACTGGCATCAAAACTTTTCGCTCCTAAATAATGCGCAACGCTGTGAAGTTTAGAGATTGTCACGGATAATAGCAATTAAGTTTGTTAAAAAAAGAATTATATGAGTAGCCCTGGGAGTAGCTGGAAAATATACCGAACTTAAAAATGGATACATCTACAAATATGCATATATCAAGATTAGTTTATAAAGAATAAGCTTTATTAAAAGATATTTTAGTGAAAGTGAAATTTGTGTACAGAACTTTTAGATCAACGTTAATTTTCACACTATTTTGTCTCACTATAAATCAATGTCGTTTAGAACTCGTTTCATTGACTAATTTATTATGCTGCTAATTAAACTGGTGATTTCAGTCTATGGTGGAGGCGCCTCTATCCAACTTCTGGCAAATGCAGTTTGGGCGCGGAAGTTTTTCGAGATAAGCCAAAAGTCAATTTATGCGCTGCATTAATTTACTGCTACGGCTGCTTTCCTAACTGACTAACTAAGTGACTGAGTGACTGACGGAGTGCCTGGCCAGGCCAGGCCAGGGCTAAAAAGGTTTTTGGTCTACTATACACCTTGGTGGATCCTTGAAGCATTTTGTTGGCCTGTCAGCTGCAGCCTTTTCAGCTCCCTGCCAGCTGCTGTTTGTCATTCGCTTATCAGCGGCAACTTCCTTGGCGCTCGTGGGGCCATTGTGTTGGCCTGGATTTTGGACTGGGCTTTGTATTTAGACGTATATTTACATAAGACTGCCACTAGTACATCCTGCACTCGGCTCCTTTCTATTGTGTGCGCTGTGATAAATGTTATCGTTGTCCGGTTCGCCATTCGCCATTCGCCTCTTTTGTCTCCTTCCAGTTTCACTCATCAATTTAATTGAAAAGCCTCTTGGAATCGTTGGGCGATTCACTTTGTTATTTGCCTTTTGGCTTTTTGCGATTCTTCTGCCTTTTTAATTAATTTTTTCTTGACGGTTTTCTTCTGCTCTTCAGCTTGCCTCGTGCTCGTCATTTTTTATTTCCTTGTCGCGCCATTGAACTTATCGTGAGGTTAATTTGCCCACTACTTCGATTATTGATTGTCGTTGATGGGTTTTTGCGGCTGCCACAGCTGCTGTGGCTTTCTCTTCTCCACCGATTGCACTTTTCAGCCATCACGTCCTCCATATTAACTTTTTTATATTGCATTCGCATAATTAAAATCACAGGCAATGATGTGTAAAGCAGCCGCCGCTTCTCTTCCTGACCGCACGCTGCGCCGCTGTCGCCTGGCTGATGGATTTAATTTTCACCTGGCAAGGGCATTTCTTATCCTTGGCCTTTTTTTTCGGTTTGCTGACAAAGGTCAAAGGCTCATTAACGTGGCTGACTGTAGCAGCGGTGTCAGGATGAAAACGGCATCATTTTACGTAAAGCCTCAAAAGAATTCTAAATTGTTTCTTCCCTTCCTGTAACTAAGCAAAAGCTTAAGCTGGGTCCCTTAATGAAAATGAAATTTATGAA